TCGCCGCCCATCGATTGCCACGCCAACTGTGGTGGCTAGCAGCTAGCCAGTCGTAGGCGCCCCGACCCGTTAGATCTAACCGCTGCTGCGGTGGCTTGGCCACGCCTCAGCCAGCCACAGGCAACGGGCAGCATAGGCTACCGCCAATGGGATTGTAGACCGGCCCGGCCATGACCCGCCGTCGTAGAGTAGCGGATCCGGCTGTCACAGCGCAGGCACGCTGCCCCGGTCCCGCCTCTGGCCACCCAGACGATGACGCCAAGCATCATCGAGGAGGGGACACGGTTGGCCTAGGCGCCACCAGATGGCAGATCCAGCCCCTAGGGGCTTGAATTTGCCTGGTCGGCCGCTTGTCGCCGCCATTCCAAAGCTAAAGGTGAAGGGGATGGAGGAGGGTGGAGGAGGAGCGAGGGAGGGGTGTAGACGACGGGTGCCATTTTTGGGCACCACCGCCTAAAAGCTCTAGTTTGGTTTTGGTGAATTGATAAAACCCTAAGTGATAACCTAGTTTATCAAAGTGATCATGAAATATGTAGCACTATTCCAAGTGATGGAGCAATGGTGAAGATCATGATGATGGTGTGGTGACCATGATGATCAAGTGTTTGGACTTGGAAAAGAAGAAAGAGAAAAACAAAAAGCTCAAGGCAAAGGTGAAACTCAATAGGAGGTTTTTAGTTTGGTGATCGAGACACTTAGCGAGTGTGATCACATTTATGATAGATGGTCGTACTATTAAGAGGGGAGCTCTTATCGAACAACTCGATCATCTAGTGCACCTAGGTGTTGAAATACTTGCATTACATTTGAGGCCTAGTGCACATTTGGTGAGAAGTGATTAACCTTTGAAAAAAATATTTGTGAAAATGCTAACACACTTGCACGTGATGGTGAAACACTTGGAGTGTTAGTACATTTGCAAAGGTGGTGAAAAAAGTGAAGGTGTAGTCGGGCTTGTGTTGCTGCCTCGAGGGCACCACCACCTTGCGACAGGGCACCGCCACCCCTATGTCGGTGACCGGCAGAGGAGGCCGAGAGGGAGGTGTTCTGGGGGGCACCGCCACCCCCTTGTCCGGTGGCACTGCCACCCCTAGGGCGGTGCCCACCTGGACGTGGTCGAGAAGGGCTGGAGCTAGGGCTGGCACCGCCAGTGATGGTGTACACCACCCTAGGTGTGACGGTGCACCACCAGGGGCACCGCCACTGACGGTGTACACCTCCTCACGCGTGACGGTGTACCGCCAGTGTGTATTCGGTGCCACCGCTGTTTTCACCCGAGAGCAAGGAAAGATGTGCTGGGCACCTCCGCGGTCACCGCCATTTTTATCCAGAGAAGGGGGTTTCTCGGGCAGTGGTTGGGTGGTCACCGGCACCCTAGGGGCGGTGCCGCCGCCGCCTATCCAATGCCCCAACGGCTAGTTAGATGACCATTGGAGGGGCACTACCGCCCCATATCCGGTGCCACACCGACATATCCGTTGACCCCGCAGAAGCTGACTCAAAGGGGTAACGGCTCTATTTGCTTGTGGACTTATAAATAGAGCTAGTGGCCGGCCTTGGCCACTCTCTTGGCACTTCTAACAGCTGCATACACCTTTTGAGAGCTGAGCACACCACTCCACTCACTTGCACACTTGATTTCATCATCTTGAGTGAGATTGGAGAGCCTCTAGTGCATTGCTTAGTATTCTAGCATCTTGTGGCACTAGTTGGGCGATTTGGGCTGGTGGAGTTCTTGTTACTCTTGGTGTTTGCTGACACCTAGACGGCCCGATGATTGGTGTATCGTTGAGCGGCTATTGGTGATTTTGCTGGCTCTAATCGTCGACATTGTGAGGGGTCCTTGTGCCTTCCCCATGGGAGATCACGAAAGGCAACTCTAGTGGATTGCGCGTGGCTTGTGTGATCCTCATCTTTTGTTGGTTGTGCGACACCCTATTAAGGGTTTGGCGTGTGATGCCAATTAGCACGTGAACTTCCAAGTGTGTGAATCACCACAACGAGGACTAGCTTGCCGGCAAGCAAGTGATCCTCGATAAAAAATCATTGTGTCATAGTTGATTCCGAGGTGATTGGTCTTCATTGGTATTCATTCTTATGATTGATTGGCTCCTTTGGTGATTGGCTCATTCCTCTACACGGCGGTATAACACTCTATCCTTCCCTTGCATTTACATTTCTACTATAGCTTGGCCCTTTAGTATAGCCGCGCGACATAATCCTTGTTGCCACACGCGTTATGCGTGGCAATACATTGTCTTGCAACACATGTTTGTCGTTGCTAGTGCACCATTTGCTATGACATGGGCAAGTTGCCATTGCAAGGTCCAGCAACGCCTAAGACGTTGCATTAGTTGTTGTTGCCACACCCACAACCGTAGCAAAAGCTTATGTTGCAACGCCTAGGTGTTGCAAATCCCAAACGCATTTTGCAACGCTAAGCAAAAAGCGTTGTCCAAAGATTTACCCACGCAAGCGCCTACAACGCCTCCCAACGGAAAAAAAAGTGTTGCTATTTCTGATATTGCAACTATTTCGGGCCTATTGCAATACTTTTCGAGCATTGAAACAGGGTCAAAATTTAGTAGTGCTTTTTGCGTAGTGTTGTTGTAGAAATTTTTATAGGCTATTCACCTCCCCTCTAGCCATTAGGATCTTTCACCGCCACTGCACGCCGGAGAGCGGCACCGGCGGCCGGAGGAGAGGCCGGGAGGGTGTAGAGTTTGGGCGACGGCGCTGTCGCCCCCGAGTCGCCCGTTGGGGGCGCTCCCAGCGTGGGCTGTGGTTGTCTCGTTCTCTTTGTTCCCCATCACACAACAAAACATTTCTGTTTAAAATTTGGCCCAGAAAATCCAGGATCCGGCTCTCTCGGACAATTTTGGCTATCACTTTGAACCTAATACAAGACTTCTAAACATGACCTAAGAGACCCTTCCTATTAGGCTGTCACATTCTTTTTGGACAAAAACAGTTCAGGATCTGTAGTGTTCAAGATATAGAGGAACTGTAGTACAGTTCAGGATCTTCATCATGTTCGTTAGGAAAACTGGATCTACTTCGTGTTACTACAACAAAAATGCAAGCAGACGATCAATCCAGTTGCGTACAGCATCCCAAAAAACTCAGTTATGACAGGAAGCATAGACTAATGGTACGAATAGCTATCGATTGTCTCTTGGGTATATCATCGAAGACCAAGTAAACATCTACTCCCTTCATTCCAAATTATAAAATATTTTAGGCTTTTCTAGATACATAGCTTTTTCTATACAAAATGTTTTATAATTTGGAACTGGAGTGAGTAGTTACTAACATATTTTTGTAAGTTTGTACAAAAACTATTTGTCAATCACTTACTTATCTCTTCCAGGTCTTTTGTATGAATAAGGGTCCTCTCAACTTTACTCAGTATCTAAACTGAAATGTTGAATTGAAGTTGAATGCAATTCCCGGTCGTGAAATAATCGGGTTTGACTTTTGGATTCATGAACGATTCAAACATACACATTAGACTTGGTATTCATATATTTAGATATGCCGGCAGCAGCCGGCCATGGTGCAGGACATTTTCTAGATGCACAAGTGCATAACAACGTCGCGTAGTTGAAGGATGAACTAGGCAGCAAAGTTGAATAAGTCTGCAAGGATTTAGAGCCAAATGGCGCAAGATAACAAGCTCAACGTTACATGGTGGACCATTATCGAATACAACACAAGTGTCGGCTGCTTGTCCTGTTGTCCGTGCCTGGACAGGAAAAGCATTCTGCGTAGCTTTGAAATAGAAACAGACAACTGGTGTGACCAGCCGGCCTGCATCCTTTGATGATATTGCGCTTATACAAGTTTTAATACACGCTTCAGGGTCAGGACAGGTGAAATTTACAGATGCACAAAGCAAGAAAGTGGTCAAGATACAGAGGAACTGTAGCAGACTTCACATTCTCGTCTTGTTCGTTACAGGAACCTGAAAGCCTTCGTGTTGCTAGTTGCTACACCAAACGGACGATTAATCCAATCTGTGCAGCATCCCAATGAAATTCACATTCTCGTTGCTAGTTGCTACACCAAACGGACGATCAATCCAATCTGTACAGCATCGCAAAAAAAATCACTTTCTCGTCTTGTTTGTTACAGGAACCTGAAAGACTTGGTGTTGATAGTTGCAACCCCAAACGGACGATCAATCCAATCAGTACAGCATTCTCATTGCTAGTTGCTACACCAAACGGATGATCAGTCCAATCTTTACAGCACCCCAAAAAATTCACATTGTCTTGTTCGTTACAGGAACCTGAAAGACTTCATGTTGCTAGTTGCTACACCAAACGGACGATCAATCCAATCTGTGCAGCATCCAAAAAAAATACCAGGTGTAACAGTTTTTTTTTCCAAGTATAGACTAACTAACCCTACCCCTATGACCACCTTCAAAGAACTGAGCCAATAGATCTTGAGATTCACGAAGTCTCGCTGTCGACGGAGAGATCGCCTATCAATGAAAGTATAGCGCCGTTAAATCTTAGAAAAAATCCAGGAAAATGCGAGCACCCATGACAAAGAAAGGACTTAACCTGGGTGGGCAAGTTCGTGGACAATCTTCATTTCTACTGCTTCTAAATGCAATCTCAACTTTCGTACTGACATGTGTGGTGGTCTGGTGGACATCAACAAGTGAAGTTGGTAGTCTCGCATTCAACAGTACCACTTTACAATAATTCATCATTAGGATCATTGATGATTTCCCTCTAGTTTTCAGCCTGCCAACAGACTGTTGTAGCTAAATCTAGAAAGAACTACATATATGTATGTACATGTAGTTGCGAGTACTATGGATGTGAATGTCCTTGAGAACAGACGGAGAGCCACATACAAAAAGGCAACCCTTCAAAAGTTCATAATGAATCAATAAATACACAAACTGCAGTGCAAGAACCATTCTCCTTCAAATAAAAGTAAAAGGAGTGCGCTTTGCTTCTAAACGCCAAAGTATGCTGTTTGATTCATCTACCATAGGAAACACCACTAAATACTTCGCCATCACCTCCAAGTGATGCTTCCCGCTCAATAGAGGTGAGATGGATTTGACACAGAGTTGGCATGATGTCCCTCATCTCAGACCGGTTCAATGGATGCTCACTTAGGCACCACATTGAAACATTTGCCATCTATAGAACAGAGAAAGGCAAGATTCAGTTATCTGAGATCTTTAAGTGAACAGTATTATGCATTTTCACTAACCTTGCACACTTCTTCTATGGGATAGCTGTCCTTCAAGTTAGGATCTTTAACTGTTTGCAATGAGCTCTCTAGATCTTCTGATTTGAAGACTTTCCTCATCTGTTCACAGAGATGTATTTCTTGATTTCATTTTATTATAATACAACCTTGCTGAAAGTTAGCATGCAAACCACAAAAAATAACCACACCAGACATTCTGAGTGCTCGCAAGGACTCTTACAATTGAGATTATTGACTTCATCTTGTTGACTTCTTTGTTATCCCGGATAAGTGCACGGAGTCCAGTAATGAGCTCTGCAAGAACTACTCCAAATGCATCCACATCAGACTTGGTAGTCATGTGAAGTTCAAGAACTGACCTGCAGTATTAAATTCATACAGTGAGCACTACATATGAAAATGTACCAGCTGGTTGGACTGAAAATCATATTCAAATGAAAACTAACTCAGGTGGAAGGTATCCTGGCGTTCCAACTAAACGAGTTGCCATACATTGGCCCCATTCACTTCGCTGAAAAAACAAGCCGAAATAATGTTCCGGCTGATTTGTTGTGAGAGAAAAACACTGTTTCGGTTGAAAAAACAAGCTGAAAAGTACGGATTATAATACAGCAAACAGGGCCTAAGCCTGCTGATTTGTTTATGATCCCCCCACCTGCCAGTATTGGCGACTAATATGCCCTGTTCGCTTGGCTAATAAGCCATGGCTGAAAGTACTGTTGGCTGATTTGTTGTGAGAAAAAATTATTATTCGTTGGCTAAAAAAGTACGTCTTATAAGCCAAGCGAACACGGTGATTCTTCTTCATCACTACTCTCAACAAGCTTCACTAGTCCGAAATCTGCAACCTGTTCAACAGAGAATAATCAGATGCTCATGTCTGAGCAGATACAGAAATTTGGTCGTTTAAAAGAGACTTACTTTAGCTCTTAATCCATTGTCGAGCAGAATATTGCTTGTTTTGATGCCACGATGCACATAACAGGCCTTAGTATGATCATGAATGTACTCAATACCACGTGCTGCATCCAATGCTATCTGTGTTCTAGCGGTCCATGAAAGAGGTTGATGGCCTGAAAAAATTATCTTGAAAGCAAGTTAGTGTATATCAAAACTCAACACCATGTACAGCCTCATGTAATACAGGAAATTTCTGCTTCCAGAAACTTCCTATAAGAATGAATAATGTTATACCTGTTTCTTTTAAATGTATTTGTAGAAAATAATAAATAAATAATCTTAAAAAATTATGAAGACAGCATACTTACTATCATGAAGACATTAATTTTTAAAATATATTAGTTACATATTTTTACTGGAGGGGGCACTGATTAAACTTAACCTACACGGTTGTTTCTCCATCGCATACCTTTCAGCAACGGATCATGTAGATGCTCACTAAGTGATCCATTCTGGACATATTCATACACAAGGTACAGGTGATCATCCCCAGCAGCATAACCAATCAACTCAACCTATTTGTAATTGAACGCATTAGGAAAGTCTGTGTTCACAAGCAAAGAACCAATACAAAGATATCCACTTCCTATTGGATTTTAGGAATTAACTACATACCACGTTAATGTGATGTACTTTGCACAGAGCTTTCAACTCAGCAAAGAACTCCTTCTATTTGCTTGCTTTCATCTTCTTAATTGCAATTTCCTATGAGGAAAGTAACACATAAGGATCTTTTCATGATTCTACATGAGACAATACAGAGATATCTTACATGTGCTCCTATGAAACCAAGGTAAACACTGCCATATCCTCCCTCGCTGATCTTTCTTTTCTCATCGAAATTAGCTGTAGCATCTCCAACTACTTTCAAACTAAAAATGACAGGCCTCTCTGTTTGGAATGGGTCAATATCTGCAACCATTCAATTCAGAGTAATAAGATAAGATACGTTATGTTTAGCTAAAAATTTAGAAGCAGAAACATGTATCACAGGAGAAGACCATTAATTCTCATGTATGGAATGAAACTGCTCTCCAGAGCAGCGATGCTGGTGTTGCTGGGAGCTCTCTCCATTTTTATTTCGGGTGCTTCAACATTTTGCTGAGAAGACCTCCTTCTCAGGCGAAGAATGACAGTGAAGACGCAGAAGAATAATATTGCAGCTGATATGGATGCTGCTATTATGATTGTCATACTACGAACCCCTAAAAAGGATCAAACAAACAACAGACAGAAAAAAAAAAGATCAGCTTAATGGGAGCAGAAAATGGCATGTATGGTTTAATTGAATACCACTGAAGAGCACAAGAAACAAAAATTCAATTTCAAACACATTTGGATTGCAAGAAGCATCTGCATCTTGTGTGTTACTAGACATTAAACATCAATCATACAAATATCTTGTAGCACAAGCTTTGTGCATAAATTTTAAGTAATTTAGAATAATGTAAATATGAAAATATTTAGTTGTGACTTACTTTTCTTAGAAGAACCAGCAACTCCCATTGGAATAAAACAAGATCCATCCTGGTTTAATGAAATCAGGATTTGTCACACTTGGATTCAAGTTTAAGATATCTTGTGGACTTGAATGGAACAAGCTTGCAATAGTAATCAGGGTATCTTCCTCCTGCACTGAATAAGACAATATTCCCTCTGATGCTGTTGAGGAACACCCGCATGGGAGGTGAACCGTAATTGTATTCCCAGGTGTCAATTGCAAACCATCACCAACATTCATTGCAAGCCCGCTGAAGGTATTACTCTTAACTTCGTCAGGTGTGTCATCCGACTCCACTTTATATTGAGTGTCATGAAAAAAAGCAGTCGTGGTGTTGCTGATAGCCTGACACTCCACTTTGCGCCAAGAAGATGGGGGTGGAATTAAGCCTGCGGAGGGTCCGGAGGCCACCGGCGGAGGCACTCGCGGAAGACGTACGGAGCTAAGCCTTCGGGTGGGGCCCCGAAGGGCGGCAGAGGCTGGAAGAAGCGCGGCGCAAGACAGGAACGGATAGGGCAAAGGATAAGGCTGTTGCGCGACCGGTGGCGCAGAGGGGCTAGCGCGCGACCCCAAGCCCCGCGCGCGTCGCTCCTCGCGAGTTTGTTGGCTGCAGCTTTCCCACAGTCACAGCCGCTGCTCCTACCGTATCTACGTGAGAGGAATCACCCAATACAGTTGTAGCAACTGTAAAAAAAGTAGTACCGAACAGGAACATGACTTATTATCTCTTTGCACGTTTTTCAAAAAGCAAAATAATTTTTTGAATTGTTATAATATCTGAATGTTGTATCCGTTTTTACTTCCGTTTGCACTGGTATGTTCTACGTGACAAGACGAACAAAACTATATATCACTTGCATATGTTTCGAAGAATTTTATATAACATGAATTTATGTATAAATATGTGCTATAGTTGTACCACTTGAGCGGCAAGTTATTAAAATAAGCATAAAATAAGCTATCAAGGGTAAATTATTATACACACCCAATCTGCGACCCCTAATTCTAATACTTTTTGCAACCTCTAATCTTAATATTTGTTGCGTCCTCTAATCTCAACCCAATCTGCCTTGTATGTATATGTGCTTTTCTTTCGTGGCAACTTTATATGTGCAATAGATATCCTTATGTGACAACTTATCCATTGTAGATGAGACAACTAATATGCAGGATTTAGGAAGGTATCGGAACCTAAGGGTGACTGAAAACTGAAACTAAAAAAACACTAAAAAAACAAGACTAAAAACTAAAAATAAAATAAATAACATTTGAACCTAAAAGGTTGACCGAAAATTGAAAGTAAAAAAATATTAAAAAACTTGATTGAAAACTGAGACAAAAAACACTAAAAATTAACTGAAAACTAGAAATAAAAAATGAAACTAAAATTGATAATAAGAAAATAAAACTAAAATTGGTAAGTATATATTAAAAACTAAAGAAAAACAGAAAGAAATAAAAAAGAAAACAATAAAAAAGAAAAGAAAGAAATAATAAAAACTAAAAGAACAAAACTGGGCCAGGCCACAATAGGGTCGCTCGCTCCCCACAAGCACAACCCTATGCACAGTAACATTTGTGTAGGGCAAAGACCTCTGATCAAATGAGGAAGCCTTCCCATGGCTTACCAAAGGCTCACGAAGGATGATTGCATCCCAAGTCGGCTCGACAAAGGCCCGTAAGAGGAAGGTGGTAACCAGAAGACAAAGACAAGAGATGTTGCAGAACCGTCCGAAATAACACATCTTCAGAGACGTTAGTCTTCCACCAGACACTAAGCAACCCGAAAGCAAGGTACATCGGACGGATTCCTTCGAGCACACCCCGAGGGAGAACTTGAATAATCCACGTTTTTCCTCTATAATCCAATAAATGAGAACAAGTTTACAATATTTTGTCCATTTCATACAACTAGAGTTCTTAGAAATATATTATTACAGTACAAAATTCAGAGTGTGGAATTTAAACAGCGAAATTACAATAAACATCTAACGGCAGAATACAAGGATCCGTCTGTGCCCACCAGAAGAATCCTTCAAATAACAACTACTCTTCAAGCTGCACCTGCAACAGGGGTAAATAAACTCTGATTACATAATGTACTCGCAAGACTTACTCGACTAGTGGAAATAACTTTCCGACTACAATGGATATGATAAGCTCTTTAGTTTGGTGGGTTTCCTTTTTGCGGAAAGCAATACTAGTAGTGAATCCTTATGTATGTTTCTTATTAACAGTCATGATTAGTTTATTACCTAACCATTCTATGTAAGCACCTGTTCTACTTTGAAGCAAGAGTTGAGCAAACAGATCTATTTCACCATCTTTCATCTTCCAGTTCTTACTACGGTGCTAGACTATAGACAAGTCGTACCAGATTACCCGGTGATTCGTGAATCAATGTGCCCAGCTGGGTACCCCAAAACACACGTCCCGTTTGTACCCCAGGCGCAAACAGGACTAACCCACCACTCCTGTCAAGGGGTCTAGGTCCCCGTCCAAACTTTGACTCCAAGCCTCCACACCTGAGTTCCATACTCAGTATGGTGCTTAGACCTCCACCATCCCCGCCTCCAATCAGTCGGTCCGGAAAGAGCCAAAACCCACGATAAGAGAGCAACGAGCCTTCCCTACTCCCATAAACAAGTATGTGCTCAGGATAATAAGTCTGTGACTTGATTAGAACCCAATGCAACGGCCGGTCCTTAACCGATACGGACAAGGAAAACGGTGTAACCAAACTATGCCCCGTTGGTCGCGGGACACAACCTCTTACACCCACCAATACCCATACCATATCCTGCACGTTCTCTATTTTCCTTTTACCATTTTATCATAAGAGCGATAATAATAATCACCTAACAATTATATATATAAACTATATACAATAACAGATAGAGCACAATTTAAGGAACCTAACAAAAATGGTTTCACAATTTTTAAATACCTACATGATTTTATATGATTTACCAAAGTTCAGCTCAGAATTACAAATGAAAAGCTATTTCTATTTTCCACGAAAAATCTAAACTGATTTCGGCCCATGCGGCGCAACGCGCGCGCGAGCTCATGGTAGCCCACAGGCGAGGCGCGGCCTGCAGCAAGGAGGCCTACGCGCTGGCACATATGCAAAACCGCCCCTAGACTATGAGCAAAATAACAGATAGAGCACAATTTTAGAAATCTAACAAAAATGGTTTCACAATTTTTGGATACCTACATGATTTTATATGATTTATCAAAGTTCAGCTCAGAATTACAAATAAAAAGCTATTTCTATTTTCCACGAAAAATCTAAACTGATTTCGGACCAAGCGGCGCAATGCGCGCGCATGCGAGCGCACGGCGGCCCACAGGCAAGGCGCGGCCCACACGCGGAGGAGGCCCACGGCGAGGAGTCCTGCGCGCCGGCACATATGCAAAAGCGCCCCTAAACTATGAGCAAAACAACCCGTAGTCCATCTTACTATTCCTAGAGACAGCACTTATGCAAAAGAACCCTCAGACCTTTCTCCCCTTTGCAACGGTGAGACCCTCGGCCATCCCAGCGCGCTCTGGCGCGGCGAGCAGTGGCACAGGCGCCTACGCCGACCACACGGGACCCTAGCTGACCTAGCTACGAGGCCGACGCTCACCTAGGGTTCAACACGAGACGATGGGTGGCAGTTGCGCAAGCCGGGACACCATAGAAAGACCTCTCCACGACGGTGGACAACTACATGTGTGGCGCAGGGCACGGCCAGCAGTGGCTTGGCACGTTGTGCCATGCGCCGGAGCTCCGCATCACCACGACATGGCATGGTCGACCGCTAGCGGGGACAGGCGCACGTGCGAAAGGCAGCGGCCTTGATCCCGTACCGACGCAGCGCCACCTGAGCAGAGGGAGTGGGCAGGCGCCGGTCGTGGCAACCATGTGCGTGGCGGTGCGTGTAGCGGCGTGAGCAAATGACAATAACAAGCGGAACAGGCGAAAGTAGCGATGGTGTGACTGCGCATGGCTGGGAGATAGCGGCGGGGTAGTAGCACTGGCAGTGAGTGGTGGGACACAAGCGCCAAGATCGCCGGCCACACAATGCCACCCGAAAGCGCGACGAGCGTCGTGGGCGGCCAGCACGTCAACGTCGTGGCTTAGGGGTGCGGTGACCGTGCCTACGTGAGGGAACCGACCGAGGACGTGCCATGCATGTTTTTTAAAACGTCCAAAACAACTAATCGGTTAGCCAAACACCCAAACCATCTTCACCATACTTTAGATGGTACATTAGGCTACTAAAACTGGCCATGACACTACTCTACTTCTTAACTAAATTTTTCTACAAAAATTGATGAACAAAGCAATGTCTACCCTTTCCAAAGTTCAAGAAATTTTCTAAGTTTTGAATGAGTTTCTATTCCTAGTTGCCTTTCCAAACCCTTAGAGATATAAGCTAGCAACATTATTTAGCAACACCAAGTATTTTATTGTCATCTACAAAGTTTGTACTTCCAACTTTATTTAAGTGTTGCATATATGTTCTATATTATTTTTGTTCAATAAAAATTGGTTTACAACCCTACTTGATAATTACGCGAATCATGAAATAACTTTTTGATTAACATTCTATTGATCATTCTACGTTACGACACTTCACCTACTCATTTCACCACATGCATTAACACACAAACATGATGCTCATGACATGTTTTAGTAAATGATTTACGGTGTAACACCGAGGGTGTTACAAATCTACCCCCTTAAACAAAATCTTGTCCCGAGATTTCATGTGCCTAGTGTGGGAAAAGAGAAAAGAAATAAATTCTGATTTAAACAATTACCTCAGTTAACTTGAAAGAAGGTGGGGATAATGCTTCAAGATATAGCTTTCTTGCTCCTAGCTTGCCTCGTCCTCCGAGTGATTTTGTCACTGAACTTTATAGAACTTCACCACACTATTTCTAGTCACTCTTTCTTTCTCATCTAAGATCTTGACAGGATGCTCAATATAAGTCTAGTCGGGCTAGAGGG